CCTTCTGCCGCAAAACCATAACCTTTTGCCATTAGACGTTGGCTTGCAATCCCTGGCAATTGCGCCATACCATGTAGATCTTCAAAGGTGTTGGTAAACCCTTTCGCATTTTCTTGCTGTAAAAATGCCTCCATGCCTAGCTCAATCCGAGCTGCTGCCCGCAAAGCACCACGCGCATCACCGGAGTCGGTTAATTGGCTCGCTAACTCATATTGCTGAGCATACTCTTGCAACAATCGATCAACGGCTTGGTCACTGATTTGATCAATCACCTTCACCAAATCACCGACAGCAAAGGTATTAACCGTATAACCAAATTGAATTTCCGCCTCGACTTTATCCCCTTCGGTGACCGCCACATTACGCATATTGTCTCCAAAGCGGATAAACCGCGCCCCTTGCCAATCATGCCAAGCACAAGCAGCACGAGACCAGTCATTGAGGTCTTCTAGAATGCTGGGGTCTTGCCAATATCCCACCACCACTTTACGATTTAAACCTAAGCGTGTCACGATGTAACCATATTCACGGTCACCATGAGCACTTTGATTGAGATTCATAAAATTCATATCAATTTCAGCCCACGGAATGTCGCGGTTGAATTGGGTATGGAGATGCAAAGTGGGTTTTCGGAGCTGTTTTAAACCATTAATCCACATCTTAGCAGGGGAAAAAGTGTGCATCCACGTCACCAAACCCACACAGTTTTCATCGTTGTTTGCCGCTTTGCACAAAGCGGTAATTTCTTCCATGGTTTTCACAACGGGCTTAAAAACAATTTGCACAGGGATGCTGGCTTGGTCATTGAGATAGTTAGTAATGGCTTGGGCATTTTGAGCCACTTGATCTAATACTGCTGCACCATATAAGTGCTGACTACCCGTTACGAACCATACTTCATATTTTTTCAAATCAATCACGCTTATCTCCATTTAATTCAATTTCTTAGATTAGATCATCAAACTTAGCTTTGCCCATAATAACGATTTTTACCATGCTTACGCTCAAAATGCTTCTGAATTAACGCATCTTTGAGTCGAGGGGCTTTTGGGTTAATTTGCTCGGTTAACCAAGCCATTTGAGCAATTTGTTCAAGAACCGCACTATTGTACACGGCTTGATCAGCCGTCTTACCCCATGTGAAGGGTGCGTGACTTCCAATCAGGACCATTTCCACGGTTTCATACGATAAATTACGCTGCGCAAAGCAATGCAATATTTGTTGTCCCGTTTCGTATTCGTAGTCACCCGCAATCATGTCATCACTCATCGGAGCCGTGCAGGGAATGTCAACCGTATTATGATCGGCGTGTGTCGTACCAAAAATCGGAATATCACGACCACTTTGCGCCCAACTCGACGCATAGGTTGAATGCGTATGCGTAATCGCACCAATCAAAGGCCAAGCTCTATAAAGCACGGCAT